TTGGGGCTTTGTTACTTAGGTTCTGCTTCTTCATCTGTAAAATGGGAATTAATAATAGTACCTACTGCAGAGAATACTGTCAAACATTAATGTAATAGTCTATACAGATCATTCAAGAAAGTATCTGGCATGTAAATAGACAAAAAAAAAGAAAAGAAAAACATGTGCAAAGACTATTTGATTAATAGTTTAGAAGAATAATTAAGGTATAAATTTCAAGGTTCAGACAATAAGAACAGGAAAAAAAGAAGATGACTTGAGTAGTTAAATTTTTTATGGAAACGTTTAGTTTTGATCTGTCTTTAGTGGTTGAAACCAGATTTACAGGGGACATTCTGAGTGAAGAACAAGTATAAAAGAAACCACAAAAATAAAACTAGTGGTTCCATGAATGGTCCAGAGTACAGGGTATGCAATAGTGTTTAGTAGAAGATTTAAAAAAAAGTAAAATGACATTTAAGGAAGGTTGGATGGAAATCAGTCCGTGGGATGGTTTGGAATGGTGGAAAATATTGCTTTAGGAGACCTGTAAGCTATTGTAATATTAAAGGTCTAAAGAAAGGAAAATGTAAATTATTAAAGTAGCCCTACCTGGTTTGACTCAGGGGATAGAACATCAAACTGAGTACTGAAGGGTCTTGGGTTCAATTCCAATCAAGGGCACATGCCGGCGTTGTGGGCTTGATCCCTAGCAGAGGCATGTAGAAGGCAGCCAAACAATGATTCTCTCTCATCATTGATATTTCTATTTCTCTCTTCCTTTCCCATCCTCTCTGAAATCAATAAAATATATACATATATTTAAAAAAATCATTATAGTGAAGAAACCCAGCTTTAAAGTCAGGAGATACCAGCAACTACTTGAACAGCTAAGGGACTCACTGTCTATAACCATAACTGGAGATAATACATTTGCAAGATTACCATGAAGATCATATAACTTTATGCACAAAAAATACTTTGTAGATTCCAAAATACTAGTAGAAGTATTAGTACTAGGTGTCATTGTTTACTACTAAATCAAAGAGCAGCAATGGAATGGAAGTGAATAACAAATGCAGATGGGCTGCAGTTGAATGAAGATCTATCTTAATTCTAGAGATATTCAGGAAAGGAATGGAGGCAGAGAGAACAGCTTGAAAAAAGGCACATTTGTGAGGCAACTCTGTGGTAATCAGGAAACTGTTACTTCCTCAATGTGGCTGGGGCAGATGTGCCTGTGGGAGTGATAGGAAATGAGTCTCCTAAGACAGGTAGTATTTTAAATGGAACAATTTTTATATTTTAAGAATATACTCATTTTCTGTACACCTGAAACCTAAGTAATTTAATTATTTTATTTTATTTTAAAAATATATATTTTATTGATTTTTTACAGAGAGAAAGAGAAAGGGATAGAGAGTTAGAAACATCGATGAGGGAGAATCATTGATCAGTTGCCTCTTGCACACCCCTACTTGGGATGTGCCCATAACCAAGGTACATGCCCTTGACCCGGAATCGAGCCCGGGACCTTTCAGTCCACAGGCTGACATTCTATCCACTGAGCCAAACCAGTTTCAGCAATTTTTTTCTTTTAATAATATATTTTAATTCTTTTTTTTAAAGAAGGAGTAAGGGGAGAGAGAGAGAGAGAGAGAGAGAGAGAGAGAGAGAGAGAGAGAGAGAGAGAGAGAGAGAGAGAGAGACACTTGTTGCTTCACTTATTTATGCATCCATTAGTTGCTTCTTGACCAGGGATTGAACCTGCAACTTCAGCTGCACACCAGGGCAATCTCTAACCAATTGAGCTACTCGGCCAGGGATATATAATTTTATTTACCAATATAACCCCACTAAATTCAATAAAAATTAAAATATATTAATTTTAGAGAGACCGATTTGAGTGAAGGACCAAATTAGAGCTAGGAATACATTTCTGATAGTCCAGATATGAAATGATGGAGTTCATAACTAAGGAATTACTAATGGGATGAGATAATATCCATTGGATATAGATATGGGATAGATTATATAAATCTAGAATATACCCAGGAATGAGTCCTGGGTATAAGTCTTGAGTAAGCGGATATTTATTATTATATTAATTTAGATGAATAACTAAGAAAAAATGATTGGGTTTGAATGGAGTTTAATTTGGGGCAAGCAGGTGAAGATATTTAGTAAGTGACAATTGTTTTAACTTTTAAAAATGAGTTTGGATATAAATATACATCAGTGAAACCATCAGTATAGTCTATGCCATAAACATATCTATTATCCCCAAAAGTTTGTTTCATCTTTCCTTCTTGCTTTATTATTACTTTCTGACATGAATACTTAACATGAAATCTGCCCTCTTAGCAAAACCTTTAAGTATACAATACAGTCTCATTAACTACAGTATCTATGCTGTACAGTAGAGTTCTAGGATTTATGCATCTTGCATAACTGAAACTTTGTGCCCTTTGGGTCAATTCTTCAGCAAATAATTCTCAAGTGCTTATTATGCATGCTGGGTTCAGGATGTTTAAAATAGGACAAGTCATAAATGTTACTCTTAAAGAGGACATAGTCCAGCAGGTGGAGACAGAATTGAGGTTATACTACAGAATTCTAATAGCTTATGAGCTAGGTAGTGGGCCAGTGTGGCAAAGAGATGCAAAAGCTCAGTTTGGGTGGTTGGTGAAGTCAGCACAGGACAAATTATTTTGGAGTTTAAACACAATTTTTACAGACAGAATTGCTGGCATGAGTGATAGTCTAGGTAGAGGGAACAGAAAAGGTACTGAGGTGTGAAAGAGCATGGAGCCCTTAGTGAATAACAAGTCACTGTATGTGATTGGAATGTAGAACAAAAGAATTAGTATGTGTAAATGTGGATACATGCCCTTGGGTTCATGTTTTCTGAACCAGGATTTCAATTCAGGTTGAATTTTTCTGCTCAGTTTTTTTCAACAATTATTTTGTAAAGTTATAGTTCTGAACTAATAATAAAAGTCAGAAAGTCTAGATAATTTCATGAAAATATCAGAAGCATTAACAAAATTACTGCTTTCATTTAAACAAAAAGCGGGTGTTTGTTTTCAGGTCTGAGGATCCAGGAGCTTGGATTGGGAGCTTAGTAAATAGAACAATTTATTCTACCAATTGATTTTAAAGTAATTTATTTACCATCCTACTACTTAACTTTCCAAAGTTTTTTTCTCCACACGGAGAGGTCACATGGGGTATAATAAATACTATTCTAAATTTCATTCAGGAGTCAATTACTTGACATTTTTATTAGTAGAAAACAGATTCAGGCTTATACTTATAATGAACAGTAAATTGTTTCAGACAAGAGGAGCTGAGGAGCTGGTCTCTGACAACTTATGAAAGCAGACCTGGACTTCTTTAGAGTCACTCTGTTTCTCTCCTTCATCTTTTCGCTTCCCTTTCTCATTCCATAGCCCCGCATCTCCTGAAGCTGGGCTCCTGCTAGAGCATGCTTTCTCTAAGTCCCTGCAGAGCCTGAGTGAAGAGAAATGGCAGGTTTCCAAGTGAAGGGAGCTGGTAACGAGTCAGTTGACTCCTAAAACAATAGGCAGTTCATGGTGTAACTTTAAAGAATTAAATAGATTATTTTTCTACTCACATATGTAGTCCCATGTCAGTACAGGCTTTTGGCTGCTACCATTACTCTGTGATCTATTTCAATAATAAAACAGTAAGTTAAATTTAACAACATTTTATTTGAATGAAATCACATACAAATCACACTGCTAGTGAACTGGCAAAATTCATATAAACCTTCTTCTACTCTTCCACCTCCTCTTCTTCTTCCTTCTTTTCTTCCTCCTCCTCCTTCTTCTTTATTCATCCAATTCTTGATTCTCTGTAGGAACATTTTATCTGTGGCACAGTTTCTTTTTGCGATTTGATAACCTATGGCTATTTCTGGTGCTAACCCTGGGGATGAGTCTCCCGCCATCTGCCACAGGGCTGCACTGGATGATTAGCATGGCTCTACTCTCTCAAGTCATGTCCTTTTAAAACTTGGATGTACTATCTGCATTTTCAAATATATTTTCCTAACTGGATTTATTGTTGTTGTAATGCCTCATTTGATATAACCTTCTATTTCTTTTTAAACATTATATGTCATTGACAAATTTGATGGCTGTAAAAGATAAATTTTCTCTTAGTATTTACTTTAGCATATGACATATGTCTTACTTGGATTACTTAAATCATTATTTAAGAAATTCCAAATCATTGAATGCCTAGAAAAGTAAAAGATTACTTGAATAAGAAAAGGCTATATATATATATATATATATATATATATATATAAAACATTAATTTTAATAATTTTAAATCTGGGGTAGGGGGTAGACATTTAAATTTAAATGCTTATGTGTTTCTAAGTAAATTTAACTTGTGAAATAAAATAATGGGGAAATAATAATATCATGCAGTTAATATAGCTTTTAAATTTGTCATCGTATACAAACCTTTGTAAATTATCATTATCTTTTATTACCATTTTGATTGTGTCTGCCCATAGATAATTTAGAAAAAATATATAATTTAAACATAGATATTGCTACTGATTTGCTTTATAGTTGTTTTATAAGCATCTGTGTATTGAAATTAATATATTACCCCACTCCCTCTGCAATTTTTTACACATTTTATATATCTTGAATAATTTTGAAAACGTTAGAAATGGGGTAAGTCTAGAATTAAATTCTGATACTCACTTTTACATTGCTTTCTTTTAGACAATACTTGAAGTCACGTGGAAATGAGAGCAACTCATGAAATCCCTTCTCCAGGAGAGAATGTCTTCCATAAATGGAACTTGGCTTTGGTTTTCACAGGACATTGACCTTGTGGCAGAGCCACGCTGCCCTTCCTGCTATTTTCAGTGATTCAGAGAACATCTGAACAGTGATGCTTGCCTTGGGTTTACAGTTTTTCATCCTGACACCTTGTTTATGTTTTTGGAGTAGAGAAGCTTGCACTAATTGCTCTCCATGGTGGCTAATCTTTTCAAGAGCCTGATTTTACCTTACATACATAAGCTTTGCAAAGGAATGTTTACAAAGAAATTGGGAAATACAAACAAAAAAAAAGAGAATCGTGAGCAGAAAAGAGATCAAGACTTTCCTACTGCTGGCCACACCAAAACCCCCAAACTTTCTAATACCTTGAAAAGTACCGTAAAGAAGATTGCCAAGTGTTCATCCACTCGCAACTTATCCATTGAAGAAGACGAAGCTAATAGAGAATTTTCTCTCTCGCCAACATTCAGTTACCGAGTAGCTATTGCCAACGGCCTGCAAAAAAATATTAATGTAACCAACAGTGATAATGAAGATCTGCTTCAAGAGTTATCTTCCATTGAGAGTTCCTACTCAGAATCACTCAGTGAACTAAGGAGCAGTGCAGAAAACCAGCCACAGTCAACACTCACGATGCCAGTGAAACGCAATAGAAAGAGTTCAAGCAGCCTGGCTCCTTCGGAGGGCAGCTCTGATGGGGAACGCACTCTGCATAGCTTAAAGCTAGGAGCTTTACGTAAACTGCGGAAATGGAAAAAGAGTCAAGACTGTGTCTCCTCAGATTCAGAGTTGAGCACAATGAAGAAAACCTGGGGAATAAGAAGCAAATCTTTAGACAGAACTGCCCGAAACCCAAAGACAAATGCCTTGGAGCCAGGATTCAGTTCCTCTGGATGTATTAGTCAAACACATGATGTCATGGAAATGATCTTTAAGGAACTTCAGGGAATAAGTCAGATTGAGACAGAACTTTCTGAGCTACGAGGGCATGTCAATGCTCTCAAGCATTCCATCGATGAGATCTCCAGCAGTGTGGAGGTTGTACAAAGTGAAATCGAACAGCTTCGTACAGGGTTTGTCCAGTCTCGGAGGGAAACCAGAGACATCCATGATTACATTAAGCACTTAGGTCATATGGGTGGCAAGGCGAGCCTGAGATTTTTAAATGTGCCCGAAGAAAGATTTGAATACGTTGAAGTTGTGGTGTACCAAATTCTAATAGATAAAATGGGTTTTTCAGATGCAACAAATGCTATTAAAATTGAGTTTGCTCAGAGAATAGGACACCAAAGGGACTGCCCAAATGCAAAGCCTCGGCCCATACTGGTGTACTTTGAAACTTCTAAGCAAAGGGATTTGGTCTTAAAAAAATCATATAAACTCAAAGGAACAGGTATTGGAATCTCAACAGACATTCTTACTCATGACATCAGAGAAAGAAAAGAGAAAGGGATACCATCTTCCCAGACCTATGAGAGCATGGATATAAAGTTGTCTACTCCAGAGCCCCAAATCAAGAAGAATAATTGGACGCTACCAGATGACAGTGATGGAGAGCTGGAATCTGACCTCAATCGAAACAGCTATGCTGCGCTTTCCAAGTCAGAGTTTCCAACAAAGGGAAGTGTTTCCAAGCCAAGTTCAAAATCACACAATGCTAGAGCTAAAAATAAAACTGCTAGTAGCAGCAAAATTTCAAATAAATCAGATTATGAAAAAATGTCCTCACAATTGCCAGAACCAGGTACCTTGGAAAAACAAACTACAACCCATTATGGAGATGCAACTCCCCTCTGGCATTCACAGAGTGATTTTTTTACCGCAAAGCTTAGTCGTTCTGAGTCAGACTTTTCCAGACTGTGTCAATCTTATTCTGAGGACTTTTCAGACAATCAGTTTTTCACTAGAACGAATGGAAGCTCCCTCTTGTCATCTTCAGACCGGGAACTTTGGCAGAGGAAACAGGAGGGCACGCCTACTTTGTATGACAGTCCTCAGGACTTACTTTTGGATGGGGCTGTGCAGGGTGTCCAGGGGAACACAGACACTGTGGATAGCGGAATGAGCAATGGCATGGTTCGTGCATCTGGAGACCAAAGTCATTACAGCGACTCTCAGCTTTCTTTACATGAGGATCTTTCTCCATGGAAGGAATGGAATGAAGTGGAACAAGGAGCTGATTTAGGTTTGGATTCATCCACTCAGGAAGCTTTTGACTATGACACAAACAGTCTATCTGACCAACAACTAGATGTTTACAACAAAGACCGAGAAGACTCGGGAAAGTGCCATGGTGACCTTCAGGATGACTCTGAGAGCTTTGATTTAACCCAAGATGACAACTCATCTCCATGCCCTGGACTGGATAACGAACCACAAGGCCAGTGGGTTGGCCAATATGATTCTTATCAGGAAGCCAATTCTAACGATTTGTACCCAGATCAAAGCCAGTTGTCCATCATGTACCAAAGTCAAAGTGAATTGCAAAGTGATGATTCAGAGGATGCCCCACCCAAATCTTGGCATAGTCGATTAAGCATTGACCTTTCTGATAAGGCTTTCAGCTTCCCAAAATTTGGATCTACACTGCAGCGGGCTAAATCAGCCTTGGAGGTGGTATGGAACAAAAGCACACAGAGTCTCAGTGGGTATGAGGACAGTGGCTCTTCCTTAATGGGGAGATTTCGGACATTATCACAATCAACTGCAAATGAATCAAGTACCACCCTGGACTCTGATGTTTACACAGAACCTTATTATTATAAAGCAGAAGATGAGGAGGACTACAGTGAGTCAGCAGCAGATAATGAAACAGATTATGTTGAAGTGATAGGACAAGTTCTTGCTAAGCTAGAAAACAGGACTAGTATTACTGAAACAGATGAACCAATGCAGGAATATGATCACTCTTCTTATGAAACCCCGCAAGATGAGGGATATGATGGTCAGGCAGATGATGTGGTTAGTGAAGGAGGGTTGGAACCCTTAAATGAAACATTACCTGAAATGGAAATAAAAGAAGATGAAAACCAAAACATTCCTGAACAGCCTGTGGAAATCACAAAGCCAAAGAGAATCCGTCCCTCTTTCAAAGAAGCAGCTTTAAAAGCCTATAAGATGCAAATGGCAGAACTGGAAGAGAAGATCCTGGCTGGAGGTACTCATGTTTAAATGATACATGATGAGCTAATTGTGTTTTAACATTGGGTGGTGCATTTTTAGAGCATGTTTATTTGTGGGAGAAAAATTTATTGCAAGGAATGTGAATGTTTATTCTGGTAAGGATTTTATTTTACTCAGACTGCTCCTCCAACAAGTTTGGATTGATGATTTGAAATCAAGATGTTTCAAAACAGGTCATACTGAAATAAACCCTGCACTCTGTAGATCAACATTTCTCTGCCAGGGTTATATATAAACCTCATGTCATATTAACCAGCTCTGAGGCATCAGTTATCACGGAAAGGCTGATTTAAATAAAAGAATAGCCTGGGGTCTATTCCTTGGTGCTGTTAGGTTTACAGTGTTGGGGAGAAAGGTAGAGATAATCTTAAATAATTAGGAAGGAGGGACTACCTTATCTACCATTCCTTGTGTCATCCACTCTACACTGTGGGGGCTGCCAGTCGGAAGAGCTGGGTCTGCACAGCCAACCATATCCAGTCCCATGGAAGACCGCAGCCCCCCTTACTATGGATGGATGCAGCTGGGAGAGTGCAGTAGGGCCAAAACCCTAGGCCAGTGGTGCGCAAACTACACTCCCGAGCTGTGGTTTGCCTCTCTGTTGACTAATGAGTTTGCCAACCACTGCCCGAGGCTATGCTTGAGTGCTCACAGTTCACTCCACTACTCAGAAAGGTGGCAGAGTCAAGAAGTTTTCCCCTAAAGAGTAGAGCAGAAGTCTCTTGCCCATTATGGATATGAAAGGAGTTCCTTACCTAATATTTTACTTGATTTTTGTGGGGGAACAATTTCAGATCATACTCTTTGGAAAAGTAGCTGCATATAAATAAATAATGTGTTGACTTTTAAATTCTCAACCAAAATTCATCTTCACTTACCTTAATCCCTTACCATTTATTTTGTTTGCATGCTTATCATTTTATATCTTTAGGATAGTTTCATTCAGTATATCTCAATTTTAATGAATTATATATTGTTAATATTTTCCTTGATTATAGCATTATCTTTAATTAAAATACGCAGCATAATATTTCATAAAGGTACATATTTATGTAATATTTATATTTATGTTACTTGCTATTATGAAATAATAATTTCTGCAGCCAGTAACTGATTATGGTTTCTTTGTTTTGACCAAAGTTGGGATCAGAAACTATTAAAAACTGGCCATTTTCTGTTGGATATGGGTGGGCTATTGAATAATCAGAGACCTTTATGGATAAACTGTTGTGGGTGCCAAGACAACTGAAATAATGACTTGAGTTCTCCTTTCTAAAAATCTGTCTATATAAAACTGCACATTCTATGTCATTTATTTAAAGAAACCATAAGTCAAGGGGATCTTGGGTGCATTGACTATTTTTTTTGAAGGTAGAGTTCTATATTAAAAACTGATTTGAAAATTCAAAGTAGTCAATATTTTGGAAAGTTTTTATTGGAATAATGTCTATTTTATTTCAGAGTGACTTAAAAAGTTAGGCATTCTTATTACTAAAACTTAGTTGACAGTTTCTTGGGAGATAGGCCAGCAGTTTGACATTGTATTTTACCTTCTGTAGATTCCGAAAAGTCTAATCAAAGGTTTAAGACTAAGCAATGTTTGTGTGTGTGTATATGTGTGTGGGTGTGTCTATTGTGATGCAATCTATACATGTGTTAATGCCAATTAGTTAAGGTATCTGAAATGTTAGGCAATAGTATAAACACAACAAGACTATGATTAAGAAAAAATGGATCTTCATCCACTTTTTTAAAAATTTCAAATTATCAAACCTCTGCAAAGTAGAGTGTTGTTGGTAATGACCCTTCTCATCAACTAGCTAACAGTCCTAGTCACCTACTGGCACTTAAGCTTAGAAAACACAAATGCACTCGTTATCCACATACCAGCAGCTTAAGAATCCTAAAATAGATTTAAAATAATATTGTGCCATTTACATGACATACTAGGCCTGGTTACAGAAAATGCAGACCCCTCTGTCTTGGGGCTTCATTTTTTATTCTGTGAGTCACTTTTGAATGGAATCTGTTGGATATCATCTATCCTAGAGGAAATCTGATACACATCTTTAAGTCACTCTCTGGATGCTTGAAAGGCACCAGATTGACTACCCAGGAGGCTGCAGTAGCATAGGTTCTAAAGGCCATCTCTTCTCCCCTTGACACCAGTCAGGCAGTAGTCCCCCTCCTGTGCCACCAATATGCCTCATGGAAGGGCAGCCAAAACAGGGCATTTTTCAGTCCTCTTCCTTGCTCAGAGCACCCCAATGAGGTGCCAATTGTCATGATAGGTTTTGTGCCCACTACCATCTGCTTACTGGGCTTTGGATAAATGTCAACGTATTTTTTCTCTCCATGACCATCCAGTCACCATTTGGTAGCAGAGCTGCTTTTCTCCACTACTAACCTGGCGAGATGGACCATGGGGCTCTCACTGTGAACAGCATGGGATGCTGATAGCTTTATGGGATTAAGTGCATAGATTTGAGTTATTTATTTTGACTTTTATCTACAGGGTCCTGATACAGAGGAATTTTAAAGACCTCCATGTTTATATACAGAGATATTTGGCACTGGTGTTTCTGAGGAACACTACATGCTGCTTGTGGGAAAAGAGACTTAGAGTGTTTGTAGCCAGAGACTCACTGAGGTCATAGTCTTCCCTTATGACCAGACCCTGCTTAGTGGTACCTTTTGTGTAGCTGGCCTGCACTCCACACCATGGCGGTTACTATTTGATTCCCACCTCCAGCCCTGCACCACTTATCAACTGGAATGAACTGTTGTGCTCACTGAATTCCCATATACCTGCTCCTGATGGCATGGCTTTCTACCTATGCACGATAATTTATGCACATTTCTTATTTATTTTTTTTTGTTTGTTTTTTGTTTTTTACTTGGCTCTAATCAAGAGGAAGAGTCTTATCTTATTCATCCTTTCAGATGCCCTGTGCCTAGACTAATGCTTTATCCCAAGATGGCACTGAGATAATCAAGGGACACAGGGTACTAAGTAAAAGATACAAGCTTCAAAGTCAAAGGCAAATCTAAGCTGTGTCCTTAATTGTTAAGACTATGACTTTATGTCTTTTGAGAGTTCAGAAGTATGGTTAGAGAGAAAAGCTCATTACTGATTACTACTGTAGACCAGGGGTTTTCTAAGCAGTTTGTATGTTTTATTATTTTACTTACAACACCACTGTGAATTTGATCCCATTATTTTCATTTTGCTCATGAGTAAACTGAGATGCTACAAACTTATGTAACTTAATGTCATACAGCTAGTAATGGGTGGATCTAGAATTAAATGGATAATTATTTTGGTTATTTCAAGCAGCCATATGCTTATTCACTTGAAATGCTGTTTTATTCATGTTCTAAGGTGGGGAAACATGTTTAAAGATGGAAGGTACCATGAACCCTGAGGTTTATTTCAACTAAAAGATTTTCATGAGTAATTAATTAATACTAATAGTATGAAAAGCACTGAGGTTTTGATATGAAATAGTTAATTCTCGTTTTTTCTACTTCAAGTCCTTGATTCATCTTACAAATTAAGACTGGTAGAGTTGTATAGTTAGCTACTTGAAGGATGATGTATTTGAAGTAAATGTTTCTAGTAAAAGAACAAAAACTTTGTTTTGTCTTAATTGTCATTTGTGGGCTTCTGTAGATTCTGAAAAGAACTATGACATCAGCAATTGGCATAACTACTAATATTTTTATTATAGTGTGCATTTTGTTTTCTGAATAGTTATAAAACTCGTGGAACTATCTTGGTTCCTAATAAGACATGAGCTTCAATGTAAACATTTTTCCTGAAATTGATATTTAGACTCAGTCTGGTTGCTAGATTCATCTAAGGAGCTTTAGGTTGCAAAGTAATTTTGGGCCTCATAGTGATGGTGTGAAATTACAAATGGTTAGGGTTCTGTCACTGAACATTTTGATTCTGCAATGGTCATGTAATAGAGCCATTTTTATTTATTAATTGTAAATAAAATAACCACAACCATCACATATATACAAATTAAAAAAAACCATAATACAAAATGCTAAAAATTAAGAGTGGAAGTAAAATAGTTCATCCAATTCTTCAGAGAAAGAAAATTTGTTCCAGACTATATGTATAAATACCTATATACTCCTTTTAATATAAGTGGTATTAACCTGTCATGCATTCATGTTGTTTTGAAATGTTTTTTAAATATGTACTTAAAAGATCTCATTTTATTGCCCACTATATTTTTAATGACACATATTTCTACTATATAGTTATTGCATAATTTAATAGTATAGTCTCATATCATTGAACAGTTAAATTTCTTACAAACTCATACACAATACAATCTTTAAGAAAATGAGATAGTATGTATATGGGAGATATATTCCTAGGTGTAGAATTACTGGGTCAATGAATTTAATCCAATTTAGGAGAGTTAGGTACTCATGAATTCTAGGTTAATTCCAAGTACTTTATATCATAGCACCTTTCATGAATGCAAATTTACATTTAGGTATATGATTCTTTGATTATTGTAAATCTCTGTTACTATACTAGATTGCAAAGTCAATGAGTGAATTTTTCATTCTATTGCTATTATAATATCAGAGCCTGTCCAGGCATCTGTTATAGAGAAAATCTTTGTTAGAGTTGTTGAATAGCTAAAAATTGCTAGCCTCCTCTCTAAAGGGCTATCTGGTTCCATATAAAGCAGAGAACATCTAGAATCCAAATAACTATAGTTTTATTTCTTTAAATTTAAAGAACATTTTTATTATATATTGTGATACAGTACAATAAGTTCAACATAATTGAAAATGAAAACATGACACCCTCCTTTGGCTCAATTAATCACATCTATAAGAAGGCTAGCTATTCTTTCTATGATGGTATAACCTACATATCTCCAAAAACCTAGTCGAATTTATTAAGAAGAATACATATTTTAACTAAATGTTTAGGCTTTGGTG